CTTTCAAATCTTATTCTCCCATACATATCTGACTTCTCAATTCAAGTTATATTTTTATGTAGACTTAGGCTAATTTTAAAAACTATGATAATATAAATAGGCATGCTGAACAACTGTAATTTCAAGTCTTGGAAGAAAAAGTGGAAAGAATTAAAGGGAATCATTACATTTTGAAAATCAATAAGAGAAAATGATAAAAAGTAAGTTAACACTAAGGCCATTAAGTGGAAAGAAAGACAGTTATTTGAGTGCATGATTTATGTTTTTAAAAAAACCTTGCTTTTTTGTCAAAATAATGTGTTTTATGGAAGCTTTATCTAGATATTAAAATGTCTAACATTATATAAAATACAGATTCTCAAAGTGCTAAAAAATTCTGTAAGAAGGTGCATACGTTACCTAATCAATTTATTTTAATTTCTCCCCCCAAAATAACATTTTCTTGTTACTCTCTCTGCTATGCCCACTCCTCTCTCACTAAATAAGCTGGGTGTCTAAGGAAGTAGAACGATTCATTTTGTAAAACACTGCTACATTGCTTTAATAATAAGAATCAATTTACCACAAATTTAGCATCTCAGAGAATATTTTATCATTAATTATTTTACCATGACATGAACTCAGTAAAGTATAATTTAAGGATACTATCATTTATTCTATTTTTGTGTCCCAAAATAATTAGATATTGAACGAAAGACAATGCATTTACCTCTAGAAAAGTAGCTTGTTACTCAGAGTCACTTCTGGATTTTAGTATATTTTAACTCAAAAATAGGTTTATAATGCTAAATTCAAATCTAGGTTTTATCAAGAATGATTATGAAATATGAAGGAAAGTAATGCATCATGAACACAAAGTCAGTCACTCAGTGGACCTTGTCTTATCCTAGGCAATGTTTTTTCTTACTGATTTTTAAGCATTAGAAGAGCATATTTGACTATGAAAGATAAGCAAATAATGTGGTAAAGCTCCATATTAATATTTGTTTAAAACTTTTAAAGAGTTATAAGTTTAAGAGAATTAAAGAAGGAAAAGTTTTTAAAAAAAGAAGGAAAAGCTGCTGATACAGGAAATATCACTCAAATACACAGACCCACTTGTAATGTGAAATTGATTAGAAATAACTTTACATTTGCCTATGGGATCTATTATTCCATGGATTTTACAGTTAGACTTTAACAGAGGCAAACTACAATTACTACTCAAAATATGTTGGAAAAAATGTTTCCAACTGAAAAAAAAATCTTGTAAATATTAAGATATGCAGGATATTTTCACTCATGTTCGTCAAATATAACATTAAATATCTTCAATGCAAGGAGTGATTACAATGCTTCGATAGGTTTCTGTCTTATGACACGTATTAAAACCTCAAATTTTAGTTTAAAAATGAAGATTATTAAGCATGACTATTTCAAGAGCCTTCATTTAACATATACTTGTTCCTAACAAATGTATATATATAATGTAATGAGTATTTATCTAAAATTGAATGTACCATTGAAACTAAATTTTTAAATACCTCTGTAATAATCATAAGCTATACAAAAATGAACCTACCTTTATAGTGTATTATAACATTTACACTGATCAATATCCTCATATTGTTTCCATTCATTAACATGGCACCCCACCCACCTAAAAATGTTCATATCCTTAATAATAAGGATCCTTAACAAGGTTATCATAGAAATGAATGTGAAGTTCTTAAATGAAAAGATATATTAAACTGAATATAGCTTTGTAGTTGTGTTTTTGTGTTTTCTAGAGCCCCTGAATAGACAGGGGTGTTATTCAAAAAGTGTTACATTAATAATAGATTTTGGGGAGCCTGAGTGGCTCAGTCAGTTAAGTGTTTGGCTCAGGTTACCATCTCATGGTCTCTGAGTTCAAGCCCTGCCATTGAGTTTTGTGCTGACAGCTCAGAGCCTGGAGCCTGCTTCGGATTCTGTGTCTCCCTCTCTCTCTGCCCCTCCCATGCTCGTACTCGCGCGCTCTCTTGCGCTCTCTCTCTCAAAAAATGAATAAACATTAAAAAATGTATAAGACATAGTAATAATAGACTTCTCTTATTGAAATTATACCACACAAAAAAATATGGATGTGTTTATGAAAAACCAAAGCTTTGAATAGTTTTTTTTTTTTTAAAGCAGCATGTCAGGTTGAATTAAACAATATATTAAAATAATCCAAAGATAGTTTCATTTAAATTTTAGTTTAAAATTTTTTAATGTTTATTTTTGAGAGAGAGCATGAGCGGGGGAGGGGCAGAAAGAGAGGGAGACGGAGAAGCCAAAGAAGGCTCTGGGCTGTCAGTGCAAAGCCCAATGTGGAGCTTGAACACATGAACTGTGAGATCATGACCTGAGCCAAAGTCAGATGCTCCACCAACTGAGTCACCCAGGTGCCTCAAGATATTTTCATTTTAAACCAGTCCTAATATTTGGAAAAACAAGTAGTGTATAATTCCTCTAACAAAATCACAGAAATATTCAGAAGGGAGAATCCTTCAAATAATTTTCATTTACCATTACAAATAAATTGCCATTGTACTAATTAATCATAGTCTTCTGAGGCTTACAGCAGTTGATATCTTAATGTTTCAGAGAAAGTGACATATCCTCATAAAGGAAACATCCCTTTTGAGAATATGAGAGTGAATTTAACAGTTAAAACTGAATAGAGAAAGGATCAAATAAAAACACATTTTTAACTTCATCCAAATACAGTCTATAAATGGGGTTATTATATTAGCTACAAATAGTGTAGTTAAAAGTCTTTTGGTCTCTAAGACCAAAATGACAACCTTTTAATAACATAAAGAGCTCTATTAGTCTTCAAAATGATACCTTTGTGCATCAACATGTAAATGGTTTCTAAGACATTTAGAATTATCTATTTAAAGGATATAATAAAAATTAAATTTGAGAAAACACCTCAATTTTAACACATGATATTGTAAACATCACATGACATCTGAACAAGATAAATCATGTATCTCAGTAGAAGTAGCAAATTTTATTATTATTAGACTCACTACCCAGACGAGTTCTAGAAAGAGGGGCATTATATTGAAGGCTATCAAGAGGACATGATAACATTTAGAAGTGCAAATGGGAACTGGCCCAGTGTTCTCTAACCTTCCTATTTCTCCCTTGTTTTTTCAATGTGCAACATATATTCTGAAAGATTTTGACTTCCAATAAAAAAATAAATTTATATTTTTATTATTAAAATTAAAGTTTAAAATCAGTTTGCCAGAACTTCTAAAATGCAAAAACATTATTTACCAAAACATTGTATTAACCAAAAGTAATTACTCATTTTGAGAAATGTGAAAGTTTTTATAGGTAAATGAACTATTCACATTAGTTTTCTCAAATATTTAATAGTGATTCTAAACTTTAGTTATTACATATAAGTATATCCAGAGCTTGAAGAATTAGTTATATAGTACAATCCCTTCCCTTTACAGGAAAGGAAATTCAATTAGGACACTTACCATAATGAGAAAATAGTTAATGACAGAGTCGAACACTGATCTTTTCACAATGCTACATTTATGGAGTTGCATTTAATCAACTTTAGAAATCAGATACTTAAACATACTTAGTCATAATGAGGTGGAACCCAGACTCCTTGATTGATCTTGACTTCTTTTCTAATGATTAGAAGCATAAATTGTCATTTGCCCTATGCCATTATAGAAGGCCTCATATTGCCTACCTACCAATTGTTTCTTCTTTCTTAAATTTATAATTGCACCTAACAGAGGGTTTAACATGTGTAGAAGACTTTTTATCTTCATGCAGAATCCTACTTCTTGCCAAATATTTCTGTATTTATATTTAATAAGACCCTTTTCAATTGGATTACTTTTATCACAGGGTCATACCTAGTATATTCTCATTAATGTTGCTTTGACCATTTACAGAAAATCAGAGACAGAAATGATCTAGATGAATAATTTATTTCTGGGGGAGGGCTATCAAGTTTGAAAACATATTATACTTAGGCTCTGAATTTTAATGGATGTTTGAAAATTGAAGAATAAGAACAACTCATGGCATTCACTAATTATGTAACTTAGAATATTCTGGATTAGCTTCAACTCTTTACATATATTATTTTGTTATGTGGAAAAAAGATGGCAAACAATTATACCACTGCATTATATTATTGCAAAAATATACTGGCAAATGCAACAAGTAGAACACTAATAAAACTAATAACAGCATATCCATATTAATACTAATAGACTATAATACTATAATAGAATATAATAGACTATAATAGAATATAATAGACTATAATAAAAAAAGAAACTTACTTTTTCATTATATAACTCTAAAACAATAAACCTATTTCACATTTGTGTCCCTCAGTTTGCTATATTTTTTGTTCCTTTCAAGTAATTAATATACACAAAGTTAAGAAACTGTCTAATATATTTGTATCATTCGTTGTTCTGCAAAAGCACTACTGTTTTTATCTATTTTAGGATTACAGGGAACATACATGATTAATCCTGACACAGAAAGTATCAAATTGAGGTATACTTCAAACATACTAGAATTATGAGATAATCATGAAATGGTAAATATTTGATTCCTAAAAATCTCTAGGAGATAAAACCAAAAATATTTATCACTGAGAATTTTCTTTTAAATTCTAACAGAGATTTTTATAAAAATAAATAGTTTTTATAACTACTTAAAGAAACTGCAAATTGTTTAGTAAATAGTAATATATATATTCAATATGAATTCTAACACTATTTACAATAACTGTTTACAACTAAACAATGTTTCTACAGATACTGACAAAATGATAGTGGTAAAAGTTGCTCTAAAGCTTAAAAATTCTAGATGGATTTGTTCAATCTTAGTAAGTAAAGTTGATTTGAAACTGTGTATTTAAGAGGCACATGCTAATTAAGTAAAAGTGATTCATGTTTACTGAAATCTTTAAACAAAAGATTAAGTAATATCACTGGTACCTCTCTCCGTCGAGATGCCCAACATGTTTGTTTGATCTTCCATACCACTGCAGCCACCAGCAATAAAGATAAAAAACAACTGGAAAATAAAACACAAATACACTTTTGCTTAAAACATTAGAAATATGTAATGAAAGAAGATATACAGAATTTAAAAATATATAGAACTAACCACTCCACCTTGGTAAATACTTACAGTAAAAATGGATATATTAGCCATGTTTAAAATGCTCTCAAGAAAAATCAAAGTGTACAGTAATTATTTATATTCCTTGTTATACAGTATAGTCTATCTTTATGATTTTCTCTGTCAGAAGAAATGTAAATTTATAACTCTGTTGGTCTTACAAAGCAACAGAAATATATTTAAAATTGCTATTGAGTCATAAAAACTGGCAACTTTATAAATTTATATTTCACAGGTTCATTCACTTTATTGGTATTAGCAACTATTTTAGATATGAGCATATTCCAATGGTTCTTGACTGAAAACAGTTTTGCTCCCTGCTTACCCCTAGGGCAATCTGGCAATGTCTAGAGACACGTGTGATAAGCACAATACTGATAGGGGTGCAACTTGGCATCAGGTAAGTAGAGCCAGGGATATGGCTAAACATCCTGCAATGAATAGAACTGTCCCCAACAACAAGGAGGTATCCAGTCCAACTTGTCAGTTGTGCTAAAGTTGAGAAACTGCCATATGCTAATATTTACACTAAGAAACAATTCAGTCACAGTGTTTATACATATGGCTTATACATATTAGGTTACAATACAGCCATAAGCTTTGAAAATGTAGGATACTTTGTTAGCAGTGGTTTGAGACTAACAAATCTAAAGTAACAGAATTATGTGAATCTAATTGGTTCCAACCTTGTAGCACTGTTTTCTCTCCCTTTGCTCTGTGAAAACACCCAGAGGTGAGTAGACCTGGGCCACTACAAATTCACTGGTTACTGGTCACTACAAAAACCCGATCTTCATTCTTAATTGATAATCCTTGTATTCTTCAATCAATTCACTCATAAGCTGTGTAAATCTTAACACTTTCTACTCTTGTTAATTCCATATTTTTTCTCCCTGTTTCCCTTGAAGAGAAGATCTTAGAAAACCATTCAATGATGAGAACAATGGCAATTCTAGCACATATCCTTTGAGGGCTGAACACATTCCTGATAATGTGCTAAATACATCACAGTGATGCTTGGATTTAGTTTTATAAGAACACTTCTGGATGGAATATATGATTCCTATTTTTAAAAAGAAAAACCCAATGCTCAGAAAGTTCAAAATAAATTACTGATAGTCCCAGAGGAAATAAGTGGTAGAGTCAAAATTCAAATCCACCTCTGTAAGCCTCAGACTCTCTCCTCCCCATCTGTCAGGAACTCTGATCTAGCACACAATCTCACAAGAGTTGTTAGTTCCATTTCCATTCTCTAATCTGGTATCCAGTATCAAATAAAGTGGATAAAAAAAGAAGTAGAGAAAAAAGCCTGTGATGCTTATTTTTTAACCACTGAGGTGCCTTTTCGTTTTAGTAATTATCTTGTCCCTAATATTTATACACTCTATTTCATCTTAATTTTAATTTCCAAAAGTGCCCAAGTCCCATGTCTCCCGAAAAATAAAACGACCCCATTTTATTGACCCTATCATTTCTTCTAGTTTGTTAAGTGATCAAGGTAGTCACCTCTATGTCAATTTCCTCATAACCTAGTCTTATTTAGTTCCTTGTAATCTGACATCTGGCTTATATCTAATAAAATTGTTACTATTAATAATTATTAATGTTTATAAAATAGTCAACATTCCAGAGGATACTTTGCTCAAAGTGGTTATATATATACATCTTCTTTATCCAATCATTAATCAATGGAAATTTGGGCCTTTTCCACAATTTGGCTATTGTAGATAATGCTGCTACAAATATTGGGGTGCACATATGCCTTCAAATTAGTATTTTTGTATTCTTTGGGCAAATACCTAGTAGCACAATTGCTGGATCACAGGGCAGTTCTATTTTTAACTTGCAGTTTGCATTCCCATCAACAACATAAAAGGGTTCCCTTTTCTCCACATCTTCACTAACATCTATTATTTCTTGTGTTGTTAATTTTAGCCATCTTGACTGGTATGAGGTGATATTTCATTGTAGTTTTGATTTGTATGTCCCTGATGATAATAATATTAAACATCTTTTCATGTGTCTGTTGGCCATATATATATCTTCTTTGGAAAAAATGTCTATGTCTTCCCATTTTTAATTAGATTATTATTTTTTGGGGGTGCTGAGTTGTATCAGATCTTTATATATTTTAGATACTAACTCTTTTTTAGATATGTCATTTGCAAATATCTTTTCCCATTCCATAGGTTGCCTTTTAGTTTTACTGATTGATTCATTCCTTTCACAGCACAGAAGCTTTTTATTTTGATAAAGTCCTAACAGTTTATTTTTGTTTTTGTTTCCCTTTTCTAAGAAGGTATATCTAATAAGTTGCTATCGCCAATGTCAAAGAGGTTACTCTTGTGTCCTCTAGGACTTTTATGGTTTCCTATCTCACATTTAGATCTTTCATCCATTTTAAATTTTTATTTGTGTTTGTGTATGAGAGTGGTCCAGTTTCATTTTCTTACATGTTGCTGTCCAGTTTTCCCAACACTATTTGTTGAAGAGACTCCTTTTTTTTTTCCTTCAGATATTCTTTCCTCCTTTGTCAAAGACTAATTGACTATATAGTTGCAGGTTGATTTTTGGGTTTTCTATTCTGTTCCATTGATAGATGTGTCTATTTTTGTGGCAATACCATACAATCTTGATCATACTAGAGTTTTGTAATATAACTAGAAGTCCAGAACTGTGATGCCTACAGCTTTGCTTTTCCTTTTCAAGGCTGCTTTGGCTATTTGGGGTCTTTGTGCTTCCATACAAATTTTAGGATTGTTGTTCTAACTTTGTGAAGATGCTGTTGTATTTTGATAGGGATTGCATTAAGCATATAGATTGCTTTGGGTAATCTAGCCATTTTAACAATATTTGTTCTTCTAATCCATGAGCATGGAATGTTTTTCCATTTCTTTGTGTCATCTTAAATTTCTTTCATCAGTATTTTATAGTTTTCAGAGTATAGGTTTATTACCTCTTTGGTTAGGTTTATTTCTAGATACCATATGGTTTTTGATGCAATTGTAAATAGGATTAATTCCCTGAATTCTCTTTCTGCTGCTTTATTACTGGTATACAGAAATACAACAGATTTCTGTATGTTGATTTTGTATCCTGCAATTTCACTGAATTTATCAGTTCTGGCAATTTTTTGGTGAAGTCTTTCGGGTTTTCTACATACAGTCTCATGTCATCTCAAATAGTGAAAGTTTTAATTCTTCCTTGTTGATTTGGATGCTTTTTATTTCTTTCTGCTGTCTGACTGCTATGGCTAGGACTTCCGGTACTATGTTGGATAAATGGGGTGACCGTGGACATCCTTGTCTTGTTCCTGACCTTAGTGGAAGAGCTCTCAATATTTCCACATTGGGGATGATATTAGCTGTGGGCTTTTCATATATGGCCTTTATTATGTTGAGGTATGTCCCCTTTAGCCCTACTCTGTTGAAGGATTTTATCAAGAATGGATGCTGTATTTTGTGAAATGTTTGTCTGCATATTGAAAGGATCATACATGGTCCTTTTCTTTCTTTTATCAATGTGGTGTATCACATTGATTGATTTGCAAATATTGAACCACCCTTACAGCCCAGGAATAAATCCCACTTCACAGAGGTGAATGATTCTTTTAATATACAGCTGGATTCGGTTTGCTAGCATTTTTTTTTTAAATGTTTTATTTATTTCTAGGAAAGAGACAGAGAGAGAGAGACAGCGTGAGCAGGGCAGGGTCAGAGAGAGAGGGAGACACAGACTCTGAAACAGGCTCCAGGCTCTGAGCTGGCAGTCAGCACAGAGCCCGACGCGGGGCTCGAACCCACGAACCGCGAGATCATGACCTAAGCGAAAGTCGGACGCTTAACCGACTAAGCCACCCAGGCGCCCCAGGTTTGCTAGCATTTTATTGAGAATTTCTGCATCCATTTCACCAGAGATATTGGCCTATAATTTTCTTTTTTAGTGGAATCTTTGTCTGGTTTTGTATCAGGGTAATTCTGGCTTTAGAGAATGAATTTGGAAGTTTTCCTTTCTTTTCTATTTTTTGGAATAGTTTGAGAAGAATAGGTATTAGCTCTTCTTTAAATGTTTGGTCAAATTTTCCTGTGAAGCCATATGGCCCTGACTTTTGTTTGTTGGGAGAGATTTAATTCAATTTCTTTGCTGGTTATCAGTCTGTTCAAGTTTTCTATCTCTTCATGTTTCAGTTTTGGTAGTTTATATGTTTCTAGGAATTTATTCTTTTTCTTCAGGTTATCCAATTTATTGGCATCTAATTTTTCATAATATCCTCTCACAGTTTTTTTCTATTTTTGTGGTGTTGGTTATTATTTCTCCTGTCTCATTTGTGATTTTATTTATTTGGGTCTTTTTTTCTTTTTGATAAGTTTTGCTAGGGGGTTATAAATTGTATTATTGTTTTTCAAAGACAAAAAGAGGTTCCCTCTTTTAAATTATGGACATTCCCTAAAACCTAGTTCACAGCATGCTGTTACCTTCTCTTACTCTCAGAGAGAATGAGCTGAGTTATCCTCACGGCCTCAGTTATAACCTTAACTGGAATGATTTCCAAACCTTTATCATTATACCTGCCCAAATGAGAGCATCTTATCATTAAAGGTGATCTAATAGATTTATTTCAGATGCCCTCTCAGGAAAGAAATTCCTAGCAAACTCTGTGATCCAGCCCCTAATCACTCATCAAAGTTGAGAAACTGCTGACTCACAAGTCAGTGCATTGTATTTTTAGCTAGCTCAAACTATAAAAATGTTCTTCTATTAACTTCTTTCTAGCTTTTATCAGTCAATGCTGCTTCTGCCTTCTGGGTTATACTGAATCAGTCAATTCTTCTATACCCTAAAACTTCATTATATATTTGAAGACCCTACATGTTTCCCTCTAGTTCACTGGT